TTTACTATTTTTTATGTCTATACCTAAATTATTCCATAGTTTTACCCCACTTATGGAAATACAAAATCTTTTTTTGGTTGTACGTACAGCATGAATTTTTAAATTTAACTGACCCCTTAAATTGTATCCCCCTTCCCTTTCAATAAATAGTTTTTGAATTCCACCAGGTAATAAATTGTTCCTGGCTTTATACATAAACACAGCAGTCTTATATCCCACTAAATCAAAAATTTTTAACAATTTAGACTGTATGAAAGCTACATTGGTGTGATCCCTATACCCCATCTTATACACAATTCCTATCGCTCTTTTTTGTAATATATACAATGGTTGAAGTGAGCTTTTGTATGGGTTTAACTGAGTTTTGGTACAGATACCAAAAATGAAGCAAAGTAGTTTTCTGCAAATGTTGTATACTGTGTGAATACTCAACTTGACTGCCAGACAGCAACATATTGGAGGTGACTGTTTTTGCATCCAGTGCACATTTTGAGAATGTGCATAGAAACCACTATATGTTAAGGTTTGGAAAAGATTATGATTATGGCAGATGAACTGCATTTAAGTTACAGTTAGGAAACAAAAATGTTTAATCTGGGGGAACTTGTGGTTATGGCTAATACTAAAGCAAACATCAATTGGACGTGATTCCAGTTTCCTGAAAATCAAGCTTGATTCACCCCAGTCCACCACCCTGAACTCCACGCCCTTATTCTACACCTTGCTGCTGTACTTCTTCCTCAGTTGGTACCAAACTTTGACACTGGATGTAAATTGTGACGTATAGGAACGTGATTCCTCAGATACTTGGCTGAAACGCAAAGAGACCTATCAGAATTTTGCCTGAATTAGTCTGAAATTGGCATAATTATGGTTTGAAACTGAAAGTGTCTGATACTTATTTTTTATTCAGTCTGTATTTGATGTCAGCTTTGGATCTCAGTTGGTACCTAAGATGGGTGAGTGACTGCTTAGATGGACTGACCTTACGTAAACAGTTTTTCATGGTGCCACAGATGAATGAATAACGTGGAGACAGAGTGCCATAGACATTTGAATGTGTCATTGGTTATGGCAACAATGCCTATGCTGGGGTAAGAATGGTCTCACTTGGCATCATTTCATATCGACAAGTTAGGATCAGATTGACACTGGCCTTTTGTTAAATGCTGCATATTTATTAGTCTCATCTATCCTCTCTGACCACAGTTCCTTAAACACATTTTATGCATAAAGAGAATGGTTGATTGTTAACTTGGTAGACAGGTTGTTTTTTTTTTTTTGGAATAAGTGCACAGATGGAGGCACACTGAAGTGCAACACTTCCTTAAAAACTGGATGGATGATTGAGTGGATGGATACATCAGTAGAATGATGGATATACTGAAGCAGCCGCTGTTTGCACGGTGCTGTTCTCTGAACCTTGTGTAAAACCTAACTTTCTGAGATTTCCTAATTAGATTTAGATGTGGTAGAGAGACGAGAGCCTGGGGATAAAAGTGATCAGTTAATGTAATAAGTGGGTGGAAGATGAAAGAAAGGAGGCTGGAGAGAGAAAGAGGTATAAGCTACTTGGATTTCCTTATATCACATAGAAGAAAAGACATGCTGCACACTGCTGGCAGTAATTCTTAAGTGTGCAGATAAGTAAGTGCACATGGTGATGATATAATGAAGTGTTAATATAATTAATTCTATTGACACTAACAGCAGATCTCTCTGTGGAGATCCTGAGTAGCAGTGGTCTGGCCTCTAACTCATTACAGCCAAGCAGCAGCAGCAGAAGTGGGCCATGTCCCAAGATAGCTTTCAGTTTGGCAGGTGTCAGCTAGACCTGTCAGTGATGTGTATAAATATACACACGCACTGAAAATATACACCTCTACACCTCCTCACTGCACTCCCATTCATTCTTCTAGCCTTCCTCTCAGCCATGTTTAGTGTGGACCACATCACCGCCTCTCCTTCCTAGTAACTGTTTTATGTACAACATTGATGCAGAAATGATCTCATTGGTTGTATTAAACATTGGGCGGAGCTAAGGGGCAAACACGCTACTCAGCTCATATTCAGAATGGCATAAGGAATGTTTTGGGTGAGCCAGATCTGTGCAGATTCGATCACAGGTGATTGATGCTGGTTAGTTTTTTGACCAACTTGATCCTAACTTGCTCTAAAATAATGCCTATGTACGAAGGCAATAATATTCTCAAGGGATCAAGGCAGCTGCAGCTTTTACAGGGAGGTGTCACAGTTGCTCTCCGTTGACGGCAAGAAGACAGGGCATGGTGGGAGACACCTGGCTGTCTCCAGATCTGAGACCTGACTGGTTTATATGCTGGATCAACAACCTGACGTTTTATAGATACATACCATTTCTTGTCTAAATAAAGGCATTTTATTTAGTTGGTTATAAAGTGGTATTCTGTTAACAGAATAAATGTGTGGTCAGTGGTGACTGCTAGCAGTCAGAGAAGGTAAACACTATATTACAGATAGTTTACACGGACAGTCTGTTGATAGTTCTGCTCCACAGTATAAACAATAACGCTTGCATCTCCATTCTCAGCAGAGACTGTGCTGCAGCTAAAAGGCTAAAAGGAGCCTAGTCTTTGCTCATCTGGCAGTACTTTGGGTTTTAAAAAAGCTAATTAAAGTTCTTACGTAATGTAATGTAAAAAATGATGGATCTTCATAACCATTTGTGTGCACACATCATACACAATGTGCTATGTTTCCATCATTGATGTGAGATTAGCTGATAACTTTACCTGTGATGGCGTCTCACTCTCCTGGGGTTGTTGGAACTACAGAGAAGCACTCTGATTATTCAGTGGTGTTACAGGGTGATGCCTCTTTACCTCATAAACGGTCTTCGGCTAACAGTATACAGTGGACTCACACTGTAGTGAAATGTCCTGCTGTCTCAAATATTCAAATAGTAAAATTGAAAAATGATTACCTACTCAAAGAACGAATATCTGAATAGTCGAATATTTGGGCCCTGTTTTGAGTTAAGGGTAGGTTAGGTCAGGATAATGGTGTCGCTTATTGTGGGGCCCTGAAGATTTATGACGGCATGGCCTGACACCCCCCTCTTTGAGGCCAGATAATGGGTAAACATCATTGAACTCATATACTGAGCTTCCATATGAATGCTTTCCCGTTCTTTGGCACATTTATATGTGTATTATTGACTGTCTATATTCATTTTATCAAACAACACAATCTTTTAATGTACTTAGTTTTAAATTGTCCGTAATTTTTGGTCAGTCTGAACTGACCTCTCAGCTCACCCGGGGAATGTGAAGTCAAGCTTCATTTTAAAGACAGCTTTTTCTTTATCTACCACAGAAATTCATCTTTTCAAGGTCATACAATCAATGACACAGTTGCTGAAACAACAGTGGCTTCTAGAGGGTGCACAGGCTTGTTGGCCAGACAAGCACGATGGTTTTGGACACCAGCTGCATCATGTCTATTTACTGTTCATGGTAGAAAAGCTCATGACTGTGACCTTTGCCTTTATTATACTCTAATAGTCAAGTGTTTTCTGTGTTAGTCATTTTACTGACAGTGTTTTGACAAAAAATATTTCCTGCCTTCATTTCACACTAAATCACTGATAATATTTATGCTTTCCTGCTATTGTTTTACTCTGGGGAATGTTTTTATAGCAACCTTTTATCTGACTTGTTTTTTGTAACCTTCCCTTTCCGTCCTCACCTTCCAGCCTACTCTGCCATTTCCTTGTGTCATCTTTGATTCCCTGCCTTTCTCTGCTCCATATCTGCCTGCTCCTGGCAGCTGCATTTATCATTTATATGTGCATCTATTTAAAAACATAAACCATCTTGGACCTGCCAGTTGGAGTTGTGGTCAGAAAATACAGGGCAGACCGTGAAGTGTACGTCTTGTGTGGTGTGGTATGGTGTGGCGTCAGGTGATGCTCAGAGATGTGGAAACAGAAAAAGTAGACTACTGGGTTAGCCTAGAATATCTGATGTGCTTATTTAACTGTAAGAGACAAGGGTCAGAAGGTTCATCTGTGGAGGTGGAGATGACGCTGATGGTTCAGTGATGTCTGCTTTATGTTTTTGGGCTATGTTCTATAACTGTTCATACAATATGTGATTTCCCTCGTGTGTGTTCCAGCACTGGGAGGTGTTTAAGGTGATCACCGAGGTGTTCATCCTGGTGCCTGCGCTGGTTGGACTCAAAGGAAACCTGGAGATGACCCTGGCTGCTCGGCTCTCCACTGCTGTAAGAAGGGCTAAATCCCATCTTACCTTATTTCTTTTTGTTCAGTGATTTAAATTGTTACCCAAATCCCAGGTTATCAAAATTTTATTGTTCTTTAAGTGGTGGAACTTCAGTGGGACTCGGCTCTTTCATGTCCTGACTCGGACTGATTGACTACTTATTTGCCTTTGGAATAACTTTTTAAAACAGTGAGCTACAATATTCCGTGCCGTATGTAACGTGGTTAATTGATTGAAAATTAAAATAACGGGTGGTATGTCCGTGTTTTTAGGCCAACACAGGCCAAATGGACGACCCTGACAAACAGTGGACGATGGTGTGCAGCAATCTGGCACTTATACAGGTAATGTACGCTTACTGTATTCTGCCGTTCCATCTGTTGTACTGTTTTTGTTTATCAGTTTAGTCAAAGGGACGAATTCAGATAAACACCCAGTAATTTCTCAGCTACACTCCCAGCAGAATCCACTACTCAAACCAAATCTGATATGACATCTGGCTGTCCAGAACACTTTCTAATGGTGTTTATATTATTCATTCAGCAAACATACCTGATCTCATAGTGCTGATTTACATTTGGTTCCATCTTTGAATCCTTTGGAAATAGTCACCTTTTGTGTTATTTCTGACCCCCACTAGGTTTTATACCAATCTGAACATTACATTAACAATGACCCACAGAATCATCACATAGAGAAATGGTGCTGGAGTTGAAACATTTCATTATACACAGTAGGCAAAAACAAGTACTTGCAAAAAACAGGAGGAGCAGTAGTACTTTTTTCCAGAAGGTGGCGTTTTGGCACCACCGCGCCTTCATCTGAGCTGAATTCGGTTAGTAAATTAATTGATCATTGACTCAACATCTATTTTGACTAGTCATTTTATTCAAGAAAAAAATGTCCAGACTTTCCTGCTTTTTTTTGTTTGCTACTGTAAACTGAATGTGCTTTGGTTCTGAACTGTTGGTTGGACAAAACAAAGAATTTGGCATTTTTAACAATTAATCTATTGGTCTTTAAAAACATCAAAAGACCAGATAATTGTTAATCCAGAGAATAATCAGATTCATCAGCAATGAAAGGAACACTACTAATGTCACGCTCCTCCTTGCCACATGCTGTAGCAAACTGCTGGTGAATTGTGTTATTATGTCCACTATCTCCTGCAGATTCAGGCCACAGTGGTGGGCTTCCTCGCTGCCATGGCCGCCGTGTGTTTAGGAGCAGTTTCTAGAGGAGGAGTTGAACTGGACCAGGCAGCAGTCCTGTGTGCCAGCAGCATCACCACTGCGTTTGTAGCTGCTCTCTCTTTAGGTTAGTGACCTGGGACACTTTTATGTTTTCTGCATCAGAACATGTTGCAGGATTTTAGTTATTTTGGCTCAAATGTCACAACAGCGTTTTAATTTGCAGAACAGTTTTGCCGCAGAGTTGGTGCAAAATGGAAATATCTCACAGACCGTTCATCACTTTTTCAAGACCTTTGGGTTCTTAGGCCTTGTTAAAGTAAAATTCATTTTAAATAAACCAACTGCAGGGTGTCAGCCTTCAGACGGCTGTCAGTTTACATTCACAGTACAACAAGGTTCAGCTGCCAAAGTCAGCTCTGACTGGATCCGTTACCTGTGTTTGTATATTCTGTATCAACCGCACTGTTGTATTCAAGATGCCTTTTTTTTTTTTTCCACATGTCCCATTTCTGCCACACATTTGAATTGTAAGGCAGTAATGGAGAAGAAATACACAGTTATTTATGTTGCAATGCTGCTCACCAGAGTAATGTTAAAGTAAAGAGACACGCATTGATTCAGTGATCTATATGCTTGGTGATAAGCACTAAAACTAATATTAACTAAACTAACAGGAGGAGTCTGTGTTTGGAGGACTGAGCATGTGATTCAGTATTTTGCGCTTTGTATGAAGAGACTATTTTGTGTTCGCCACGTTAGTACACTGAAACTCTGCTGTGACACCTGGTTCCAAGCGATTGTGAAATACTATGTGTATGATCTATAATGAAGCCCCTGTGTGTTCAGACTATACAGAGGGTCATGGCCATAGTGTTGTAGATGACCTGATCTGCTGACCCTCCCTTACAGATTAATAGAAAGGAAAAGATTCATATCTCAATCAGACGGTCTCAGGGTCAGTTCAACAGGATTTAAACTTTGCACTAAACTGCATCCAGTTCTGTGTTTGCTAATGTTTGGAGTCATTTCTCAGTGGGAAATCATTTCTAACCAGCCTTCCTCTCTCTGCCGTGGTGTTTTAAATATTTCTCTGTAAATCTGTTTTCTTATCACCCTCTGACAGTTTGTTTAAGTTGTCTTTTCTCTTTTACAGCAAGCTGTCACTCTTTGAGGCTGACTGATGTCTTGAATGTCTTGTTGTTATTGATCGAGGGAGGAAAAAGCAGCACACTTCAGCTGGAAGCTTTTGTCAGCTCTGTCTTGTAGCCCTGATGAAAGTTTTCTCCCAGAACACACAGAGTTGTATCTTTATGTCTGCATTTTCTTGGTGGGAAGCAGTGACAGTTTTGGTTTTTCTCATTTATCTTCTTCGCCGTTTGTCTGTTTTCACTCCTTGCTCCCCCATGATCCATTCCCTCCCGTAGGCCTGGTGATGATTGGAGTGATCATCGGCTCCAGGAAGGTGGGGATCAACCCTGACAACGTGGCCACTCCGATCGCTGCCAGTCTGGGTGACCTGATCACCCTGTCCCTGCTGGCTGGGGTCAGCAGCACTCTCTATGAGCACATAGGTGAGTACATACAGTAACACTGGAAGGCCTCAGGACCTCAGCTCAGATTTATGACACACTTGTCTGTGCTGCTCTGGTGTGTTGTGGGCGTCAGAAGAATTAATTTCACTTTTGGTTTCCTTCAAACTGTTATATCTTCTCCAGTACAAAGACGTTGTAAATGCACATGTAGTGATGAGATAAGTATTATAATGTGATTGTATTGCTGATATTGAGTCAAACTAGAGGAAACACAGTGACCAGGTCCATTTTTTGAGTTTATCATGGTGATAACCAGAACACAAGATGGCAGCAAAAGTCAGATTTTTGTCCCCAGACATCTCATGATGGTGTGTTTCTGTGTGTGCATGTATGTGGCCCAAAAGTGTATGAGCTCAGGTAAGATACTGGACAGTAGTGCATTTCTTCACCACATCACCTGTTTCTGTACCACAGATATTTGGTACCTGTCCCCCCTGGTGTGCCTGTTTTTCCTGGTTCTGATCCCTCTCTGGGTGGTGGTTGCCCGACAGAGCCCTCAAATCAGCGAGGTCCTTCGCTCAGGATGGCAGCCAGTTATAGTGGCCATGTCCATTAGCAGGTACAGTAGATGTTTCACACACTCACATTTGCTAATGTTATGATGAATTATTGATGATCACATAAATCCATTTAGAATATATACTTAAGTATGAGTCACTAGTGTGAATACTGTAAATATACTGTAATATATTTTGTACAAATCTCTCCATACATCTTTAAGGAATACGTAGCCAGTATTTTCCTCATTGTGTACTACTTGTTGGCGATTTGGACGTACTCTCCCTTCCCCAGGGTGTTTCTGTAGGCTCCTCTGTGCACTGTTTGTTCACCAAGCCCTTCCACTGACACGAGCGTGAGTCTCACTCAGGATGCACGTGAGATGCTACGTGCTGCACCTGCTACACTTTTGGTCTGTGTCGCTGTGTGTGAGACGTGGACTATCGTGTCTCTAAATCTGATGGGCACAGAATCAGAAATCTCAGAGTGATTGGCTGGGGGACTGGTCAAGGCAGATCACGCTGAAAACCAGCTATTTCCGATCTCTGCTGATTGATTGGTGCATCTCTTTAAGTAAATACCTGAAAATAGGACCACCTTTTATCTGGGAAGCTGTGGCAGTAACTGTATGTGCTTCTGTTTCCCTCTGATTTCCAGTTTTGGAGGGCTTATACTGGACAAGACAGTGAGTGATCCCAACTTTGAGGGCATGGCTGTCTTTACCCCTGTCATCAATGGTAAGACTGATCATTAAAGTTAAAAGATACCACAAGGAGCTAAATTAGCATTTCAGCTATTTAGTGGACACGTTATTAAGATTAAAGCATTACTGTAGGGATGTTGGCACTGCTGTAGTTTTCTTCAACTTGATGCGAGTTGCAGCTGTGAGATGTGCTGAAACCAATGGCTGTCTGGATGGTTGGAAACCAGTCTAAAATCATATTCTATACTTGTATTCTAAAAGATTTACAGTTAATGTGCTAAAACATGCTGAACTGCCAAAAACGTTATGTACAGTAAATGGAGCCTTACAACCACCATCTATTTCAGAAGCATCAGAGCCAACATGTAGACCATCAAATTGCTTTGATGACTCACATGGATGTTCCACTTTTCCCAGTCTCATCAGGAGAAGTACACACTTGTAGTTTTTCAAAACTGTATGAGCTGCATTAACAGTATATGAAAATACATCAGTTGTACTTTAACCAGTTTAATACGGCAGTTGACGGAATCAGAACTCCTAAAGTCCTCCTTCAACAGTGATCATCCAGTCAGAGTTACGAAACTGAAAGTAGGTACACAATGTTGTGCCGTGTGTACTGTTCTTGTAAACTGACACACTTCCGGTGCCTAACAGCTTTATGAGCTCTTTTCTCCATGAGAAAATCCCAATCACCTGTGGAAATCAGAGAAAGAAACAGTCTGGGGTTTCTAGTTTCTGTTTACACACAGTAAAAAGATTTTCACTCCAGTCCCATTTTAGAATGCTGAGAACTGCAATGAGAAGAGGAGGCAGTGAGATCAGAATGAGTGGTTTGGCTGTGAGCTGATGCATGCAGGGATCCACTGAGTATAGAGTTGATATAAACCACTAATGGTTCACACCCTGTGTCCTGGCACAGCTGACAGGGCCTTCACCCAGCTCCCACTGTCACTGTGCCTCAGCTCCTCTCTGCCCATCTCTTTTTGTTTCTCAATCTCTCTTTCTTTACACCCCTTCAAGCTAAATTCTGAATTTGCCAATGTGGTTTAAATTTCCCATTTTCCCTCCCTGGCACACATTTAAAACCAGTATTCTGTTTACTGACAGTCCCCGCAAGTCGTTTCCATCTCACAAAAGAACATCTGTGTCGGTTTTTGGGGTAAATAAGGTGTTTGATGTAACTGAATTAGGTACAGATATCCTTGTCAACCCCAAAATTAAAATGGATTTTTAAGCTAGTGGCATGTGGAAAAGCTGTTTTGCATTCATAAGAAACTTGGCTTAGAAGATGTGATGCTCAACTCGCACCAAAATTAATGGATCTTAAATCTCTTCAGGTTTGACCCTGGTCAGCCTTTCTAGTTGCTCTGCACCTCGTAACATCTGGGAAAGATTTGAAAACGTTATGACTTGTCAAACAGATCTTGACACAACGCCAGAAACAAGTTATCTACTAGAATTCAAGAAAGGGCACATATGGTTTTTGCACACAGTCTTATTTCACTGTCAGATCCAAATGGCTGCATGCGGTTGACTTCTTTCCATATGCCCATGTGTCTTCACAAGGTATAGGCTGAAGCTTTAGTTTGTATTAAACTGTCTTGTGTTTTTTCAGTTACTGACTCCACTGACTAGGTTTTAGCTCTGCTTTGGCCTGTGTGGCTGATTAACATGCACTCTGTAAACCCGCATCGGAGCCAAGTGTGTGCTATTACTGGGCTTAATTTGTGTGCAGGCAATGAAAGAGATGAACCAAAACTGATTGTAAAGATGTTTGCTGCGCCTCATGGGAAGGAATTTTCTCTTTTAGCTGACTATGAAAACACTAAATCATATCAACTTAAAAAAAAAAATTCAAAACAATGTGTCCCTTGTTGTGGCTCTTTTGAACATGCCTCATAAAGCGTGACGGGGGGGGTCAGTTGCCTCACATCTTCATTCATAAACCTGTTCATTCACTCACATAGTCATTCTGTCCTGTGTCTCTCCTTGTCTTGTGCAGGAGTCGGAGGTAACCTGGTGGCCATCCAGGCCAGTAGGATTTCAACATACCTGCACTTATGGAGCATCCCAGGGGTGCTGCCCGACAAGATGAGGCAGCACTGGCCCAATCCTTGCATCACCTTCTTCTCCTCAGGTAACACTGCCATTCGATGCATCTGTATACACAAGCTTTTAGCACGTTAAAAGGCTGACATACAGTAAGAGTCATGCTAAAGCCCTGTCTGCACCGCTAGTGTTTCAGCCGTGTTTTGATAAGCACTTGAGAAGCATGGGTTATGCAACCACTACGCTCTTGTATTAATCGATCCAGTTGTCTACAGCGCTGGCGTATCACTCGTGCTTTACGCGTGAAGCTGCGACATGAACTGTGTTTTAACTCAACAGCTCTATTTTTTTTTGGAGCTGTGTGTGTAACACTCTCCACAGAATCCACCAAAACAGAGAAATAGATCAAGAAAATGCATTTAAAATACAATCTATTATCCGTTACATCAATCCTACTGAACATGCACTTTTTTAAAGTGTCTTGTCTTCATTTGCTGTATTTTAACCATGAGCCGGATACACTGTACAGCATACCCAGTAATTCCCTCATTATCTACTATGTATCAGAGTTTTGGACCATAGTTTTCCCCTTGCAAATGTTTTTCTGTGCTTCCAATACGCAAGTGAACAAGAGGCTGGTGTGAACGCAAGCACACGCCTCTTGCAAGCTGCACGCCAGATGCTATGCGCAGCATACGCTGTGCTTGTGGTGTAGACATGGTTTTAATGATGTTATTTTAATTCCTAAGCTGCGGGTGTTTAAAAAAATCTGTTCATGCTGCATCACCTACTGTAACATGTTCACATTTCCCTCGTGAACAAAACAAAAAGAGTGAATATTGGACTTTTATCCACCTGTTGGCCTGCAACACTTCTCCAAGTGAGTGCTAATACTGCCTTGCTGGATGGCCAATGGCAACTTTTCACTAACAGGTTTGGAATTAGAGTTTCATTAGCAGATAATTGTTGATTGTTGTTCAGCCCCCAAGTGGACAAAAAAATGAATGCAGCTTTAATATAATTATCTTTAAGTAGTTTGAACACATACATTCACAGAATTTTGTGACTGTACAGTATGTGCCCTGCACACAGTGATGTCTCTTTTTTGTGTCTCCAAGGGGTGAACTCCAAATCAGCCCGTGTGCTGCTGATGCTGGTTGTCCCTGGTCATCTGGTTTTCCTCTACGCCATCTCCCTGCTGCAAGGAGATGAGGCACCTATCACCGTAGCCTTCACCCTCTGCTACCTTTGTGCTGCTCTGCTGCAGGTAAACTGATGCACAACTGTGGAGAATGCTTTTTTGTCCCCATTTACTGCTCTAAAACAATGTTAGAGTAATATCATTTTGCAGCCAGTTTTAATTAACACGATTGATACTCGTCAGCTCATTTCAGCCACTGATCCATCGCTTTGCTTATTTAGCTAAAAGCAACAAATCTATTTCAATCAGTAATTACTTATTTTTGCTATTTCAATTATTTATGCATTTCTTCAGAGTTCAAGTATTAATTCTTCCTTTAAAGTCATAACTTCAGAGTTTTTTTTTTTTTTTACCTGCTGTATTACCACTAAACATGATATGATGATGCTATAGCTAGTGCTAAATTTGCTATCACTACCTCCATTGTAGTCAGGGAAATGAAAAGTTGTGTTGAATGGCGGCACCAGGGCAATTGGTTGACCACCAAGACAGCTCCCTATAAACATGATTTCAGGCAAATCATTTTCCACATTTACCTCCAAGTCAAATGGAAAGGACATACAAGATATAGCATCTGGGGTAGCCATTACAGATAACTAGAGTTGTTTTTGGCAGCCTGTTTTAATTTTAGTTTTAGTCTAGTCTTTGTGTGAAGCTGTCATTTTAGTTTGTATTAGTTTGTCAATTCATACTCTTTTTAGTTTAGTCTAGTTTTAGTCGACAAAAACTGATGACATTTTAGTCTAGTTTTAGTCAATGAAAATTGTATTTTAGTCTCTTTTTAGTAATGCAGTTCTATTTAACCCAGTCAATATAGTATAAGTACCTAGTAGTATAGAGGAAACCAAAAGTTTCTTTTAGCCAAACCCATTTCAAACAAGGTTATCTTATTATATTATTGTTACCTTATAGACTCAAGACTACATCCAATACACATTTTGTGTAAATTTGTAGCTACATTTCGCCCCATCTTTTCCCACAACACATTGTTTTCTTTTCCACTTCTACGTAATTAAAGTTTTTCCAACTGTCATTTCTTCTTTTTCTCCCATAGACGAACCCCAGCTGGCTGGCCATCGGTCCCTTTCTCTGTGTCAGACTTAACTTTGTTTGTTGTCGTCTTCTAAATAATGCCGCGAGTGGGGCTTAAGGAAGTGACGTCACCTGCGTCTGCGCAGTGCGACCTGATGCAGCCCCTGAAGCGAGACACAGGAAACAAACACTGCAAAATAATAATAACGCGACTGAACGAGATGAAATAACATTTCATTTCATTTCGTTTTGGTCAACGAAAATGAAGAGACTTTTGGCACAGTTTTTATTTTGTGAACTACATTTAGTCTCATTTTTTTGGTCAACAATATTGCATTATACATCTAGTTATAGTCATCGTCACACGACCAGCATTTTCATTGCGTTGTCTAGCTTTCGTTCGTTGATATTTAGTCATAATTTTCGTTGACAAAAGCAACACTACAGATAACTGCATAGAATCAATCACTTGATCACTGGTCAACAGGTCATCTGCTGATCAGTGATGCGGATATACAGTATATTCCCAGGTAGCTCTCTGCAGTGGCTACCTCAGATGGCTAGATCTTGTACTTGCTTTCCATCCGACTCAGAGGTAAATCATGGTAATACTGTAAATAGCATTAGACCAATCTTCTAATCCTCTGGCTGTTTCTTCTCCTTAACATAATGTTTCTTTTTAAATATGAAATTAGAAATTATAATTTCTAATGTTTTCACTGTGTTTCCCCACATTCCTCAGTTAAACTGCAGACATACCCCTGACTGGGAGTCACTAAACCTGTCAAGTGTTTTTGATGCTCATTGCAGCACTTGTCCTTGCTAATGGCAGCCTGTTCAACTCAGTTTTCTTCTCTCTGTAGGTGACGATCCTCCTCTGTGTTGCTGACCTCATAGTCCGTCTGATGTGGAGGAGGAGTCTGGACCCTGACAACTTCTCCATCCCCTATCTGACCGCCCTGGGGGACCTGCTGGGCACTGGCTTCCTAGCCCTCTGTTTCCGCTGTGTCTCTCTAATTCAGAGCCTGGCTCTATGAATTTTTCCCTTTTACCCATGAACTCTTTAGCCTGCTGCTGTTTTGTTGTTACATTTACCCAGATATGCTTTTGACTGGATAAAAAAAAAAAAAAAAAAGCATTTTCTGATCTTTATCACTGGGCCAGTTCATGTCAGATAATTTGTCACAAATTCTTTCCACTAATGGAGAGAGCACATGTGGCACCCACCATGCATGTATGAACACGCCTAGTTCTTTAGAGTGCAGAAGTGTCTAAACACTTTAGTTCTGTCCTTCAACACCTTTATTACTCTATAGTGGACTTTATTTTAAAACCATTCCTCTTTGTGTATAAATGGGCCATATATTTTCAGTTTGTTAGGATTTAATGTTTTCCCTGACTAGTGAGATAAAATCAAAATCCACTAGAAGCTATTGTTAAAGGAAATTTTGGGAAACACACTTATTTGGTTTCTGACTAAGACTGACAACCCTCATGTCTGTATGCTACATATGAAGCTACAGCCAAGCTAATGTAGCTTAGTGCAAAGACCGGAAACATGGAAACTTGCTAACTTGGCTCTGTTCAAAGCTAATCAGAAATATGAAAACAATTTCCTGTTTCTTTGGAATTATGTGCCAAAGTATGTTTTGATCAGAAACTTGTTTTTCAATTCAGCTTCATCAAGATAATTTAATAACATTTTAATGTGTTAAATGTTTGAGATGCTTGTAGGTGGATTTTGCCCAGATTTTCTTAATTCCTGTTTCTAGTTTCTGTGCTAAGCTAAGTTAGCCAGCTGCTGGCTGAACCTAATCTCTCATTAAATAATGGCAAGAAAACAAATAAGCATATTTGAGACAATGTTCAACTTTTTCTTTAGGGGTTGGAATAGGGCCTGTGCATTGTACAAATCACTAGTCAAAGCTACAATCATAATCCTGTGCACAACTCCCTGAAACCAGCTGAGCTTTCTGACGCAAATCTTCCACTACAGAAAAGTAAATTTCATAGCACCAAATACCAAGTCACCAAAATACAAAGCAGGCAGAGGTGAAAGGGTGACACATTTGTGCCCACTGATTATTCAACAGTTCTTACTTAAAACCCTCATAACCCACCTCAAAAACTGTCTGCAGAGCATCTAGTATTCGCAGATGGTGATTTGCTTGTTGTTGCATATCCACAAAGCACATATGGTCTTAATAAACTATCATGTGCACATAATATGTTATAATTAGAAGCGGTGAGATTGTTTTTCAGGTTCTGCATCAAAATAAAAACACTTCTGACAATCAAGCACCCTGAAGCCTGAGAAATCCACAACTCTTCTATTCATTTTCAGTTTGCCAAATCCAGAATCAGTTAACTAATTTCCATTCAACCAGTGATTTATTTATATCAGATAAATACTATTTAAAAATGCCATAATGAGCTTCTCAGAATGTTGAACCTAAAACTTTTCTACATTCAACAAGAGCACAAAATTATGTAAAAATAATTTAATAGATTAAATTGGAAACGCATTCCACAGTTTTAATATTGTGGACCAAGGATTTTCTCTTTCTGGCAAATGCAAAACTACTTAAACGTAACCTTTTTTTTTTTTTTAGGGCTACATGTGCAAAACCATTGAACAATTAAAAACCCTGCACCATTAACAAGGGTATTGTCAATGTGCATGATTTAAAAAAACAAAAAAAGTATCCCATACAACCACATAAAGTAACACATGCTTCAACTAAGTCCAGATCTCCACGTTAATGATCGAAATACAGACAGGACAGAGACTGATAAATGTGTGTTTGGGTTGACATCAGCCTGATGCCTGCAGACAACTGCTAGCTAGCGTTAGCTCTCCAACAGGTGGTTCACTCCACTTCAGCAGCCTCACATCTAATAGCCAGAGATGATCTCTTCAACAAAACAAACCAAGAGCTCAGATCAGCATGCAGAGTGATTTTTTTCAGTCTGTCCTTATAAATACAATCTCTAAATCCACTAGGAGATCACAACAGTCTGGTAAACTTAAAATGTTACGTGCAGTTTGTAACAACTCGTTTTCCACTAAGAAATTTTTCACACCATGCAGACAAAACTGAACTACTTACAAGTAACTAATGTGTGCATGTAACATTTAGTGCAGTTGTGTTTACTGAGAAAAGGCACAAATACAAATATTGATCACAGGATTTCAAAAATTGATAGTGGGTCAAAGTATCTAGCCCTAATAGAAATCACAATATGAAAACATGTTTAGCAAGATTTTTTTTCTATTATTGTGAATTTTGTGCTGCCATTAAATGTACACATAATACACATGCACAAGTATTTCTTTTCAACTATTTACACGTTTACATTATCTATATGACTGAGGAGGATCTTGGATATTTCCGCACTACTTGATACAAACAGCCCCTTTAACCGAGGGTTCACAGAGCCTTACTATTCATTACCATTAAAAACCATAAAACCTCATCATTACAGCATATACTGTACCTTCACACATTACTGGTGAATTTGTGTACAGACATGCAGTGAAATGCACAGATTTGACAAGTGGATGTTTTATGTTCAGCGCAGCCTGTAACTGAATTCAGAAATCAACTTTAACTCCAGTCTGCTTCTGTCTCTCCTCCGTCTGTACTAGGCAAGCCTGTGATGCACCCACATTTTTCTGCTCAAGAAAACATTTTTTGCATACATTTAGGGCGTTCTGGCTGAATTTGCATAGAATTGTGCTTTTCCACTGATTGCATATGCATTCATGCCATGTCTAAAATCCGCATTCTGTCTAGACACACGGTATGATCCATTTAACATTTAAAAGTCACGTTTAAGCACTTTCACATCCCAATTACATATTATTTCTGTTCACATAAATACAAAAAAAAACAAACACTTGGTATGGGTAAAAAAAAAAAACTGCAAAAGCACAGTATTTACTTATAAACAGTGTGAAGGACTACCTATTTCTGTGTATTTGAGGTTCATCCCGCAGATTTACAACATATCGCAACATACCAACGTCCAACTACAATCATTAAATAACATGGAACATCTACTGTTTGCTGTTACTACTTGTACCATTTTTTTGGAAACACTTAAATCTGAAGCTTTTGTTTGGCATTTCTGCAAATCTGTCTTGTCCATGACTAAATATTTATGTGAGGTATTTAATTGTTAACAGTGCTTTGCTAAAAGCTTTTCTTGTGACACTGTTACACAGTACTTTCTACACTAGAAGGTAATGAAATATAGATATGTCCTGTTTGAATCAGTTTATTTCACTTAAGCTTATTAGGGCGAGATTGTTAACTGTGATACTGTGAGACTCCAAACACTGCTAAGGTTGTCTTATATGTGCGCCAGCACATAAGGTTGTTTTAATCAGCTGGGCTGGATGATAAGACCTAAATCTCTATCATTATTAATTGGCACATTTATACGTACAGTCTCTGGCCACTTTATTAGGTACAACTGTACGCAAGTCAGTGCAACAATTCTGCCCTGGGTCAGCCGAGGCTCAAACCTGGAAGCTTCTTACTGTGAAGCGACAGTGCTAACCAGTGCGTCACATGTTTATCAGTGAGGTCAAAGTTAAAGGTGGTGGTGTACTGGACTACATTATATTCAGAGGTGTTCCTCATCCTGACCCTCTCATGTATGTAGCTGGGAGGACAAAAATATATGAATACAATGTAGTCCAGTACACCACCACCTTTAACTATGACCTCAATAATAAACACATAATTGAATTTATTTATTTATGACAATTCCACCAAAAACTGACACATTTTGAGCTTAATAAACACTGACGTTAAGGCGGAAATGCGGCATTGAATTGTGAAATTGCAGGCAAATTCCTGGGCAGGGTTGCATGTCTGACATTTCAGATACCTGCTAAGCCAAGCTAACAGCCTGACAGCTTTAGCTTCACATCCAGTGAACAGGCATGAGAGTCTTCTCATCCAACTCTTCAATAAAGTGACCAAGCATACTTCCTGAAATGTTTTACTCCTTTATAAAGTATGGTGCATCATCCAGCCCTATTAATAAGTTGCAAAAATTGCACTTTTCTCTTAGTAGTTTAAGTTTGCCTGACAACAAAGTTAACCATCTTATCTAAAACCTTGTCATCTACAAACAAAGCTTTCTTTGAATGTTGCAACAATCCGTTTACTATAGAAAGATTTCTATAGAAATTTTGTATTGAACTTCAGTGTTGACACTGCCGCATTATGACTGTAGGGGCTTTTAAATTACTTATTGTTAATGTTGCTGCCTTCACTGTCGCCCAAGCTTTCACACCTACAGTATTGTTGTCTTGTGTGTGTGTGTGTGTGTGTGTGTGTGGAGATGACATGGAATCAAAAATGTGACAAATGTTTATGCGATTTTGTGATTACAAATATATTTTAATAAAAACTAATGGTGTAACTGTAGCACCATTCCCACTTAAATCAGTCAAAAAGGTTAAAAGTTAAAGGTACTACAAGTACAGTAGGTGTATGATATCAAAAATGCCACTAGTTAAGTTTCCATTTATAAGAGCACTAATTTAATAAACATTTTCAGGAAATAGAAAAAAAATTTTGGAAGTTGCTATGATTATCTAAAAATGTAAAGTCTAAAGGTTTTTAAAAATTTGTTTCTCAGCACTTGCAGCACTTTTTCAAATTAACACACTATAGCCACATGCATTACTGAGCTGAAACTTCACTGAGCCCAAATGTATTTATTAAAGTAGGCTTATTTTCTTAATACTGAATACTAGGTTCTTTAGTGTTTTATACACATAAACAGCCATATTCTTGCTACGCAACATTTAAACAACCTCAAGAGTATTTTCTATAGACACATTTGAATCAAAAACGGCCCTGCGCCAAAAATCCAGCCCAGTGCCAGAGAGTTTTAAGCCCCGCAGGTCCAACCAAAGGAATATTTCTACTGAAAATGGCTGGTAATGTCTGATTGGCTTTTTTGTACATAGCAGCATCTTGGAAGTTGAGATTGAATTTGCCTCTTGCAATTTATGGCTTAAATCATACACTGCTACACAGGAGAGCATAAAAAACTAATTACAGCTAAACAGAAACATATAATGTGGCATAAGCATAAGTGTCACAAAACTCAAGGCTTGAATATAAGAGGAAGTCGCTTACAAAGACAGCTTGTAAGGCATTGCCCAAACACACACCGCACTTTTCAAAGCATGAAAAACCTGTTTTCAGAGTGGGCCAGCCTGGGCCTGTCTGACGAAAGTGAAATATTTAACAAGAGAGATGTGGAAGATACAGGGCTGAAATTAAACTCTGTCCTGACATATATTAGCATAATTGTGTACAGTTTTTCAATATAACTGGAACTAATATCCTGGCTGCAGGATATTGTTTTAATGGAAATGGATAACTAGCTAAACAAAGATTAATCCCTGAACTAAATGTTTCCAGTTCATCCTGGCTGGATGAGTATCTTGGTGAACACACTATCCCCAAGACGTTCTAAGGGATGAGACTGTGTAGACTGGGCAAAGTTATTTTATTGTAATAATCATAGGAGTCTACTATGCAAGCATGATATATATTTTTAAATATTTTAACCTGACTGTCTTGACAATGACCAAGAACGGAACTTCTACTTAAAAAAAAAAGGTGGTGAGTAATCAGTGAGCAGGTGTTAATTTAAAAAAAATGTAGAGAATCATAAATTAAGATGCCAAATGTAAACATGAGCTACAGAAAACCAAATACTGTCCTCCCTCACAAAACAAATCAGACACTGATCACAGATCAGCAGTGTATCCATTTTACAGCAACAATTTGTTATTATCCTAATTATTTTATAGGATTTATGAAAACTGTGTAATTTTATACTTCTTTCTTCTTCTTTCGACTGTTCCCATTGGGGTCGCCACAGCGAATCATCTGTTTCCACCTAATTCTATCCTTGGCATCCTCTACTCTCACCCCAGTTAACTTCATGTCCTCTTTTGTGTAATTTTATACTAATAATAGTGAAAATAGAAGTTCTGATACCATTAATTTACTTGGAGTTAAGTTAGTTTTAAGCATTTGTTCTTTGTTCTCAGTCTTTATTGAATATTTATATTTCTTTAAGTTGAATTGTATGCTCACGTGCAGTATCCAATTAGACAATTTCCATAGTTTCTGCAACTGATGCACTATGCACTGACTAAGAGTGTACTCGCATTAGGCACAGTTGGCTTGTACAATGCCCAAGCCTGTTTATCCCCACTGCCCCACTGGCCTGTGCTCACACTGTACTTGAAATGATCTGGGCCAAAGTCTCACCATGATGCAACGGAAGAGAAATGCTCTCACACAGCGTTCAAGCTCCATGCCCTGGCATGGTTCACGACCACACTATGCATAAGCTACCGTGCCTGGGTCCTCCTCTTCAAGTGGGCTAAGGCACGGCAGAATCACACTAGTCAAAAAAAAATGGACTTTGGGGGTCAAACATGCTTGGGCACAGTACAGATTGTCGAGTGCACCCTAAAAGACCCTGGGTTTCACTAGCTTCACAATTCGCTGGAGCTGATCCACTGGAACTACAGTTTCTGTTTTACCTGTAATTACTGTAAAGATCAACTTTATTGCTGAACCAACACATTTCAACTTGAGATGTGTAGATTCAGCATTATTATTAGTTTCAAAAAGATATTAGTTTTGCATGTGCACTGTTTTAAACCTATTGGCATTCCAAAACTAAATAATAGTACTCCACTGATTTGGAATTTCACTTCTACAACAGTTTAAAAACAAAAAACAGAACCAGAGATATCATCTTTTTAATTCCATTTATTCCTCTGAAAACTTGGCACATACATTACCCACAATGCAACAAGACCACAGATTTAGGTAGGTATTCAGAGAGTCGGGTATTTTGTGTTGGTAGCAGCTAACATAGCCTTGACTGACAAAAGCATGGATGTATTACAATATTACCAGATGGCGCCAAGGTCATGCCTACGAAAGTTGTTCAGTGGTGCACACTCCAATTTGTTTTTTAGGTTTCCAGATTCTGACCAAAATACATGCCTGGATGTTCCACAGTCTTCTGTATCTTAAGGGCTCACACAGCATGCGCACTAGTACTGATCCAGCCGACTTTCTGTTGGCACCCTGCACACATGAATGGGATCAAATACAACAAGCCTACAGCACCTCTAGGCATCACAAATGGTACTGGACTGAATCATGTAATGAGTGCAAGGTCAATACATGAAAACAGCTTCACCCCACTGATGTTTTTTTAATTTTTTTTATCCAACACCTGTAAACAGATACTACTGTAAAAATTGGTGGAGATTCCCTTTAAATGTTTTAAACTGTGTAAGGACATTTGTTTCCACTGATGTTTCTGCAGTACAGTATATTCATACACATTTTCCTACATTTCCTGAACAAGGCCCTGCAGTGGAGATGACTGTGGATTGATTAATCCCTCATGTGCCTGCGTTCACCCTAACAAGGAGAGCTCTGAACAGGGGTAGTGCCCTGCCCTGACTACAGTCATGTGGTTGTTTGTTCAGCCTAGCTGCTCACAGCAGGAGAGATTACAAGCTTTTACTAGAATTAAGAATCCTTGAAATTACATGTGCAAAATAGTGTCAACCAGCACTGTGACAAGGAAGGTAACTACTAGCCCTGAATGTTGTTTTGAGCTAGGGTCAGATCAGAAAAGTAAAGATGAGTGTGATATAATAACTTTAGAGTTGCTCTATTTGGTTTCTGTGCAAAAGCAAAAACAGCAACTAACTTTCCTGCACAATTAAGTATTCATTCAGAAAGGAGAAACCCCCTCATTCTTTCATATAAAATTCATTTTCACAAAATTATGGGCCCAAATCCTTGCTACTTTACAATAAATACTTTATGCTCCGACACATAAATAAAGGCCTTCCAGAGATATTGAACGGTAGGTTTGAAATAATCCTGTATTCAATTTCACAGTCAGCACATTTACTTGCCTGAGGAGAACCTGCTCCTCTGAAGTACGACAGATTTTTGGCTCATCAGTTCTTGACAAAAAAAAAAGAAAGCCATGGGAAAGTTTACCATTTACTGTAGTGAGCAATGCAGAACGCTGGTAAGGTATATGACGCCAACACAACAACCACACCTAACAGACAAAGCTAAACGTTGAAGAAAGCTTTGCTCATTTGACGAAGTAATGTGTAAGTAAGAAATCAGATGAACGAAAAATAAATACTGTATTCTAAATGAAACTAAAGGCCCAACAGAAAGGACCTGTTTGTGACATCACCTGCATTTTCAGCCACATTTTGGGAACAACCCATTTGCATTCTGCTCTGCTAAACGTGAAAACAATATACTGTTTTCACCTTGAAAACAAACTAATATTACAGACACTTGAAAGACTACAGCATAAACACCCTCTCTTTTCCTTCTCAGGAATAAATTTGGTTCCATTTATAAAGTTCCATTCAACAAAACCAGAAAATCAAGTTCTTTCCAACAGTCATTCATTTCTGTCAGAGAGCAGTAGTGACAAATCTGTGCCTGTGATGAACCACCTATCGCAGGGATAAACAAAGTCCATGCCAGCAAAAAAGTGCAAAATTATCATTGTTGAAAAAGTCTGAATAGGATGTGAAAGCAAAAGTATCACAGCTGATCCATCCAAGGCACTCCATCCTCTTTTCTTGGCTTCTCATCAAGTCCTGAGATACTCTGGTGTGGAGTAGTTAAAGAGCAGGAAGTCCATTCTATACAGGTTGAAGAGCTTCTTCTGGTAGAAAGGACTGATGTGCTTAAAGAAGCTTGCTGCCATGTTGCCATCAGTCCGAGTGCTCTTACCAGATGTTGGAAACTGAAGTGTCCCCTCCACTCCAGCTAAGTGGAGCACAGCCTGAGCATCTGGCTCCAGGGTCTCATACTTCCCCACTACATCATAGTGGATCAGACAAGGGTGGCAGAGGGAGTGCACCTGCTCCCAGTGCTCGTTGAAAGGTTCCTCCCGGCGGGTCAGAGGGTCCACGAGATACTGGACAAACTCATGGAAAGAAACATCATTTCCTTTTCTCAGTGCTTCGGGCTCTGGGTTGGGCCGGTACCTGCGAATGATCTTTGTTCCATAGCGCTTGTGGAAAGCAGTATTGTAGCTACGGGTGAACTTGTTCCGGTAGGCCGACACCAGGCGCTCAAAGGGCTCCCGCACAAAGATGAACTTGAGGTAAGTGCGAAGGCGGTGGTTAATCTCAGGGACAGAGAACTCTGAGAGTGTGCGGAGATTACCTGCTATGTGTGCCTCGTGGGCGGGGATGGCAAGGGGGTCAGTGTAGTGGCCGCCACTGGTGAGGACCATGAGGACACGTTTCCAATTGGTGCAGGCTACCTGAAGGTCAAATGAGATTCTAATAGCTTGCTATGCAGGATGCATGATTTTTTGTGTCTAGAACTGTCTGACACTGAGGGGCCCCCAGGACAAAACTGAGACCCCACTCCCACCCTACCCCCCTACTTCTTGTCAACTAACCATATAAATGTTGCCATGGAGTCAGTGAGTTAGCCATGGGATACAACTTTGGTCAGACTTTGTTATCCTGTATTTGTTGACATTTTGGCAAACTAGCACCATTAAAAATATGCAGAATCCTTGGATGTACAGTGAACTGTCACTGATCTACTTTGATAATGAAGAAAACTTAAACCATGATCATTTTCAGATAAATTCAAGAGTTAAAGTATAAGGAGTGGATTTTTCAATCATTTCTAAGAAGATTTCTGTGTGACATAGACATCAGAGATAAGTCACAAAGTGTAAGTCACGCTGAATCTACCAATATGTGTATCGTGTTTGTATGATCAGATTATGTAGCAACTCTGAGGAGTGCCATTTTTGATATAAAGTGTGAGCTAAATCAGTGACAGAACTACAATTACTAACTCTGGGTGATAGTTAAAAAACAGATAAGTACCTGTCTCTTTCATCTCATGTACGTCCTTCCAAGCTCCACCCCCTTTCAACCCCTCCGTGTGACAAACTAACATTCTAAAAACCTCTGCTGGTCTAGAATTTCCACTTAATGTAATAATGACCAACCTTGGGCACATAGCAGTAAATAAGGCTGTGTTTGTCATCCACAATGAGGTGTTTGAGATCCTCAGATGAAAGCACTCTGCGCTTCTTTGTGTGGCTCAGACACGCCTGCTCCATCAGCTCCCTGCGGCCTTGCAGGGACCTCTGGACTGCCAATAGCTCCAGCTGCTTGTGATGAGGATGATGCAGGGTGGATGAGGAAGGAACAGAAAATGAGGGGGAAAGAAGCAAAAACAGACAATCTGTTAAAACCTGCTGCAGGCAAGTTGTCTGTCCACAGCAAGACTCAGAGAATAAGAGTTTTAATACTTCTGAGACAAGTTTATTTCATCTGTATGTTAAAACAGTTTACAAAAAACGTGTTAGGTTTACTGTAATATATAAAAAAATTGTTGATTGTGCCACAGGGAGAAAACTGTTGGGATATATCTGATTTGCACTTTCCATATTAAAGCTGACAAAGCTAAAGAGAAACCCTGAATAAATTAGTGGTCTCTTGCAGGATGACAGTGACCCCATCCATAGGGCACAAGGGGTCACTAAAAGGTTTGAGTATAAAAATGATACGAATCATACGCTATGGCCTTCACAGTCACTACAGGGAATGTCTGTTGGAGGAATGGTGTTCATCCCTCCAGTAGAGTTCAGAGACTTGGAGAGTCAGTGCCAAGGAGCGCTGAACCTGTTCTGGTGGCACGTGGTGGCCCAACACCCGACTGAGACACTTTATGTGGGGGTTTTCTTTTCATGTGCCACCTGTCTGTAATGTTGTAATTAATAAGCCGTAGAAGTGCAGGTATGTAAATTATACAGTATTTGAAATTAGTCAGGCTAGCTGTTTCCCCGTTTCTAGTATTTATGCTAAGCTGTGCTAACTGAGTTATGTTTTTATTTCTGTGTCACAGGTATGGTCCAGAAGTGAGGACCTTGACTTTTGACCATCAAAATCTAATCAGTTCATCTTTGAGTCCAAGTAGACACTTTTGCTAAATTTTAAAAAATTCTCTCAAGGTGTTCTGGAGATAAAATTTCAAACTGTATCTTTAAGTAAAAATGCTCTTGAAATTGACAAACCCACAAAATGCAACTGCAGACTAATGCATAGGGAGACAACCAACAAAAATTGCATTGCTCAGTCATTACAAAGCTGGAAGAACTTCTAAGAAATTGACAAATAGATGTTTTTATGTGTGTGTGCATTTCTGTTCTCACCTGGTCTCCAAGGTAGAGGGTCTGCAGCGGACTACTCCTGCTTTTCACTGGTCTGCTGCCAGTCTTCACACCAGGTTCTGCAGTTAGAGATGATGAGAATGATTCAAGCCCACATTATTCTAGATTAGCCGTGACCCAAACAAAGACCATTTAATAAGAACAAGTGGGTTTCTGTGTCATTTTTATAAACTCATGGTCCAGTTCATTTCTCACCGTTTCACAGGTTAAGATAAAACACCACAGTAAATCTACTACAGCTGATACGTCAACAAATGAACATCTGGTGCTTTGTTGATGTTGTCACTGCTCATTTGTCTAACTATATTAGCTTCATTTTTTTCATAAGACCGTACATAGGTCACAGATAAGAACCCCACACCCCCCACCCCCTTCTAGTCTGCCTTTGTCTTGACGTGACCTCGCTTTAAAAAAAAAAAAAAAAAAAAAAAAATCTGTAGATTCAATGGGTTCCTCTCAAACTCTTCCTGGAACTCTTATCTCTTTTAGTCTCTCTGATCTAGCTGCAACTCTTCTTCCTCATTGCCCCTTTTTAATTTAGCTTTCATAGCATAGGAAATTAATTTATCCACAGGAAATTAACTGGTACAAAACCAAACTGCTCCAAACTTCTGAACAATGCATCCCCGATTACCTGAGGGTTTGAAAACATTTTGTCTGAGTAACATGTATTTGTAATGATGACCTGCGGGTTTGAAGGAGTTAAAATATCTGGACACAGACCTTGTTATCATCTCTCCTCCCCCGTCCATCCTCCAAAAAACACATCTGCCTTCTTCTTCCACCCCCAACCATGACTCCCATCCCCCCTTCTCTCCATGCCAGTCAGTGTTGGGATCTGCACATGTGATTAAACAATGCCCCTGGCTATTTAAAAAAAAAAAAAAAAAGCTTACATAAAGCTAGAAAGAAAGATTGCAGAGACAAGGAATATGCTTTTTGTATATCAGCATGAGGGAAACTACTTGGAAGATGGTATACCATCCATACCATCATCATGGAACGCAAATCAGTTGCACATAAAAAAAGAAGGTGACAGGTTATGTTATGTAAGTATGGAATGCAGAAGGAGACAGAGATTGTCTCTACCACTTTTGCTTTCTGCTGAGTTGACATTAAGCATATAAAGCAGAAGCTGCACCGTCTTCAAATAGCATGGAAATATATACATATATATATGTAAAGAACTGTGTCAGTGTGTGTCAGAATATCCTGACTACTTCTTCTTTTCTGCTTCTTAAAACAAAACAGGAAGTCAGTCAGCAAATAGAGTAGAACATGTAAATCAGTAAAGAGACAGAGTGCCGTGATACAGTCACCATGTCCCTCCTTTCTGCGTGAGCTCTCATGAATCATCAAAAGCTTCTGCTTCCTCTGGTAAATCTGTGCCACATCATCTGAACACAGAGATCAACTTCTAGGTCCTGCTGGACTATGCTGAAAAGCCTTACTGGACACACAAAATCCACATGGATTTAAGGTCCACACATGAGTCTATCCAATTTTTAGATACTTTTTATGATAAACATAAACAATAAAGTATTTTGTACAGCACAAAGTTACACTGTGTAGCTGCTGGGATGAAATGGAGAAGTAAGACACAGGAACAGCAAACTGACAACACAGAGGGTCCAACAGCCCATTGTGCACAGAAATCTGACTCCAAGTTCCAGGTACCACTGAATATAATGAATGAGGTGCCTAAGCTCTATCAACAGCACTGTCATTCACATCTTAAGCAGTTAAACCCTTCGCAAACTCAGGACTCTTCCGCAGGAAGCTGGATAGTAGGTTGAGATATTTGTAGAGGCTCTCCTCATATTAATGGTTTGTCTCATTTCAACTATGAACATTTAGGAAAGATTTAGGTATTTCATGCACAGTTGTATGAGCTGGGGACGACACAAAAAGGAAGAGTAAAGGATAAATAGGACACTAATTTGTCAACTTAAATCATCTTCGGTTTAAAGTTCTAAAACCTGAAAATACTGTAAAGTGTTGAAACTTACTTAGAAGGATTGAGTGGTTTAAGACAACCATATAATAAATCTAACATATTTTTGCATGTGCCCTTAAAAGGTAATGTACAGGTAATGTGCTAATAATTAGCTACAAGCTAAAAACTGAACGGTTTGTCACTACATTGTGATGCCACCACAAAGTCTCTGTGTGTTTGTACTCAGGCCCTTGCTAAATGATTTTCTTCTGTAGCATTTTTAGCACAGAGCTATACTGAAGATGCTTTATACATGTTGAAGTTTGAGAAGTGTAATAAATCCTACTTGATCTTCATGCCTGCAATTTGAAAAGACTGCATTACATTGTTGATCAATCCAAAACTACATTTAAAAAACAAATTAAGTTCCAGTGGGGCTGCACCTGAAAAAACACAGGGGAAATGAACTTAGCAGAGTACGTCAAATGTGGATTCACATCCCCATCTGGAGCATAATCATACCAGCAGTCATTTTATATGTATGGGAAAAGGGAAGTTGTTCAGTTGTGGGTACTTCCTGAGCATGAGCAATTTCTGCAGAATTGCCCCATGACCCTACTCTTGGTGCTTGTGGGATTTCCAAGGATTAACTGACTCAAAGGTATTGGTTCACAAGGTATTGACACAAACTTTTTTTGTCATATTAACAGCATAACTTATGTCAATGTCGATCCACTGCTTGGTTCAAGTCTGTAAAATCAGCAACTGTAGGATCGATTTCCATTAGATGAAGTACATCCTCTTTTATGATCCCTGAATTTTCCTCTAGCTCCACCTGAAGGTCCAAGTTTACACTAGTATTGACAAAGGTGAGGGGGGGCAGAAAATGTTGCTGTGGTTTTGTGGGTTCCCTAATGATTAATCCTGATGACTCTAGTGATGCTCTGACTTTTCACCTACCCTCATCATCATGCCAAACACCTGCAAAAAAACACGACATTCCCATCAGACTCAGCTGAAATGTGTTCAGTCCGAAATTAGCACACACAATAAGATGGTGAACATGTTAAAAATAAATAAATTATTGAGCTGTGCCTGGACTGAGTCTTACATGCAGATCATTCTGTTTGTGATACCAACTGTGTGACATCTGGACACAAACTCTAAATGTATCAGTGTATCAATGAGTGTGAATGTGTGTTTGGTGAGGGGAGAAGTGTGTCCTTGTGTCTTGCTCTGTTTTGAATATTCATGGACACACTACTTGATTTGTAGATCTGTAACTCTATAAACCTAACCATAAAATCCAGATCAACTTCCTCTACTGATCATTTTTCTTAACGTTTAATTCTTAATAGTATATAAAGGTTATGATGTCTACTGGCACCATAAAACATGATGTTCTTATCCTTTAAAGCTTTCACCTGTACTCTCATCGTCAGTGTTTACTCTGTTAAAAGGAAAAACACTTTCAGAGGCTGCTCCACTCTGATCATCACAAACCACATCTATTTTGTGTCGACGGCCTTATCACATACACCAGAAAACCACCATTTCCCCTCAGCCCCAGGAAGTGACAACACTGACAGTTGAAAAGCAGAAGTTACTAGGCACACAAAGAGGCCCATGTTGGATCTGGGTCAGTCTGGTTTAGGCACTTGAAGCTGTGCTGATGTTGTACTCCCAGCTAAACAAGGTTCCATCAAGCCTGTACTGGTCTGGTTCATTATAAACAGACAGAACTATGTTGGAACTAATCCACGGACAGTTAAATAGTATACAAAAATGTTTTGACTGTGTGTGTGTGTGTGTGTGTGTGTGTGTGTGTGTGTGGGCAGAAGACATATCTGTGTCCTGCTCTACTGGCCAACTTCTCTTAAAAACAAACCAAAACTCTTCTCCTTTGTGATGACAAGAAAGAGCAGGGAGGATTCTGTAGCATCAATAACATGTTTAAAGTGGTTAAATTGCACTTATTTGCACTTTAAAGTAATCCCTATCTTTATGAGGCTCACGTAATTGAACTTTCCATGAGCTGAGGGAAAACCACAATGTAATCTGCTTCAAGTGAGGAATGTGAAAGTCTGTGCAACAATACAACTGAAAGTGACAGAAAGACAAAATTGGATGCCACAAATGGAAACAACTGAAGGCTGGAAGAGACAATAGTGTCATTAGGAATAACCAGCAGTCAGTGCTTGTTTGGTTTAAAGGTGTCACATCATCAATGGTAAGAGCTGCAGATTATTAGGCCAACTAGAGGAAGTGACTTTATAAACAGGAATAATCTTTGAAGAGGGACAGGCACTCTCTTACCCTCCTTTTTGCCACTTTCGCTGCTCTTCAAAATGAGTTGAAAAGGAGCAGAAACATCTCTTTCAGATATCTAGAGTAACTATCACATTAGCCATACCTTCTGATCTCAAAAAATATTATGTCAGAGTTCAAACTGGCCTCAAATACAGTATATCTAAAGGTCTGCTCCAGTAGCGAGGCTCTCCTTAACTGGAGAGGCCCTAACAAGTTAGGTTATTATTTACAATTGTATAAATTAAAGATGCACCAATCAATCTGCTAGAAATTGAACTGGCCGGTTTTCACCTTGACTGGCTATGACCAGTGACCGGCTGATCACTCTGTCATATCTGATTCTGTGCCAGTCATATTTACATGCACAGTGGTCTACAACATGCACACAGTGGTGCAAACAAAAATTGCAGCATTTGTAGCATGTAGCATCTTGTGTATACAGTACCTCATGCTAGTGTCTGTACTAACTTAGTCAACCCAGCTGTGCCTACATCTGGAGGTAAAGGACTGCCATACTGTATAACTGGTCAGAAATTAGCTTTATTTCAGGAAGGCCTATGTGAAAGGCTGTTAAAAGGCTCTCAAGCAATGAAAGTTATAGGGTGCTATAAACGGATCACTGCTAACCTTCAACAGAAAACATGACAATCACTACCGGCTCTACTGGTTTATAACTGAACAAGATCAAATCAGATGCACCGTGATAACAGAAAGTGAAGCACAGACATCACACAAGCCTCCAGCTATGAATCAACTGCCATAGGCAGAGGCTACGTTAACCAAATATTTTCCATCATTGACAGATATTTTTTT